AAAAATTGAGGTGTTTGGCCAAGCTTTTGGAAGGAAAAAAAGTGCTTTTGAGGAGAAGCAGAAGCAGTTTTGGAGAAGCAGAAAAAAGTAGCTTCTCTCCAAAAGCACTTTTTTGAGAAGCACTTTTGAGAAAAATACACTTAGAAGCAGTTTTTTAAAGCTTGGCCAAACACTAATTGCTGATCAGAAGTGCTTTTCAAACTAATTAGCCAAACACAAACTGCTTCTCACCAAAAGTCCTTTTGAGAAAAACACTTTTGAAAAAAACCACTTCTCAAAAATAAGCTGATTTTTGCAGCTTGGCCAAACGGGCTATTATTCTGGTTCAGACAAACACAGGCCAATGGAATTTGAAAACAGAATGAAGTTGAATTGTATCTCTTGGAGAGTGAGTTAAAGGTGATCCTGACAGATGATGATTTAGTTTCAAGTTAGTGTCTGATGCGAACCAGAGGCAACATTGAAATCATGTAGTATTGTTTTTATCAGCAGTTATTGCAATTGATCTGTTCTTTCATGAATCATGATTTCAATGTGTGATCTTACAGGTCTGGAAAGGTCAAGGATCAAGGAAATGGAAGCATGGACAAAATGATGGATTTTTTGTCCAATTCGAATCACCTTTAGTGCGGAAGTTGTGGTTTATCCCTAGCTCCACTGAGAAAGGAAAAATCTTATGCAGGTATGTTTCCCTTTCTCTTAGCCAAAGCACAAGACACATACATAAAAAGTGGATGTCACAGTCACAGGCATGCATGCATGCACCTCATTCTATCTTTAATAAAATACATAACAAACACCATTATTCTTTTCATAGCATATATAAGTAAGCACCAACTTATCAGGTGCTAAAAAGGGTAATAGACAAGTCATACAGTCCTGTAGATCAAGTATGGGCGAACCTCTTGAGACGTGATATTTATTGAGACGACGAAATAGCAATTCAACTGAATGTGCATTTCTGGAATTCGTTTGGCCTGTCAAGCCTGTGAACATTTCAGGATAACTCTTTATCTTTCATGACTTGGGCAGCCGTCCATCTGAACTTTTCCTAGTATCCTAGGATTAAGCAAAACTTGGAAAAATACGTAAAAGTTTAGCAACTTCTTTTAGTTAATGTATAAATTGATATCTATTGGAATAATGAGATCTTTTTGGATAATCATGCTAGTCAAGCAAATAGAGCTTCTTATCTATAGTTTTAAGTGTGTGCATATGTTTGTTATTCTACGGAATGCATTTTCAAGTTGAGGCATACAACCTTGAGTTAGCTCCTAAACTTGATCTTCAATCATCTTCAGGGATCCAGTGCCTTTGGATATTAGCGCACATGAACTTCTTCCTCGTATATTCAAGCAAGTATAGTCGAGGCTATTGCAGTTCCATTTCTTGGGTCAGCTTTTTGGGGAATCTTACATGGGAGAAATGGGCTTATTATCGATGAGGAGAAGCAAACACCTGATTTTAAGTTTCCTTGCACTGGGGTCTATTCTCCTTGGACGGGGGCAATACGAGCAAGCTGTCAGAGTGCTCCGGAGTTCCTGCTTATCCTTAAATTGGTGAGGGTTTTGTCAGCTGTCAAGATATCATTTATTTTTGAAGATTTCTTATAGTAGATTAGAATTTCCTAGTGTTGCATGCTTCGTTTATTCTCATTACACTTTCACATTGTTTGGCTGTTTTGTGCAGCAGTGAGTTTTGGTTAATACTCTTAAAAAGTAATTTTTCCAAACGTTTTCGAAATGAGACTCTTGTATATTTGCCTGGCTAGAAGTAATGTTGGTGTTGTTACCTTATCTTGGTTTCTCACAATGTTCATTACTGTAATCCTGCCATTTCTGAACTTCCTCTTTTCTTGGATGTATTTTCCCATCTCACAACTTGGATATTTTCGTTCAGCTTTGTATATTTCCTTTTTCCTCTTGTAGGACTCTTTAACTGGAATTTTTTTAGGCTTATTGGTGGCTATTTTTAATTCCTTTTACACAACCCTACACTATAGAATTGTATGTATAGTTCATTGTTCCTCTTCCGATAAACCACATTACATGGACAGTTCCAGATAACATTTCTATGTCCTTCAGAAACTATGCATTTCTAGACTGGCAAATTTCTTAAACAGTAAATACTAGTACTCCATCTGTTTCTGTTAAATTACTCTTTTCTTTGATTATAATCTTGCACACATTTTGAAATTACTTTTTAAACATTAAAAATTACAACTTGTGATACTTTCATGTATTTTCTAGATGATAATCTGTTTGGTAAAGAAAAAGCTGAAAGTTTCCTGTTCCGACTAAAGCCCGATTTAGAGCCCGTTTGAATTGGCTTAAAAAAATGGCTTTTATTTTATAAATAAGCAGTTACATGTTTAGATAAAAGTGCTGAAGCTTAAAAAAAGTTGTTGAAGTGTTTGGCAAACAACTGCTGGCAAGCACTTTTTCTTATTAAAAAGATAAAAATATCCTTAAAGCTGTTAACATTGCGGTGAGATGATACATCACTTTATTTTTAATTAGAGGTAGAGTGTAAAAAAATATAAAAATAATTGAAAGAAAACACTTTCGCTTTTAATTGGTTTTGTGTAATCTGGAGCGTAAATCCAAATTAATTAGAATCCAAATATTGTTGTCAAATATCAGTTAAAAAATCAAAAAAAAAGAGAAGATGGGAGTATTATACTTATTTATTCGAGTAATACTCTTCTGGCCGAAAAGTTAATTATTAACAGTTCATAAAATGTCAGCTTTTAGTTAACGCCGAACTCCAATTGATATATCCATGGAAAGTGTTGAAGAAAAGTGCAGAAAAATAGAGATGAAGCAGAGATGAAGAGGAAAGAAGAGAACGGCAGAGTGAAGGAAATAGAAGTACAATGTTTTAGGGTTTCTTTGACAGAGGGTAATTTTGGTATTATAAAAACTTATAAGGGACAAGAGAGTAATTTTATTGGTCAAACTAAAATAGCTTTTAAGTCAATCAAAAAAGTTGATGTCAGCAACTTGTTGCTTTTAGCTTTTTTAAGCACTTTTTAACTTTTTTTAAGCAGTTTTTTTTTTTTTTTTGCCGTAACACTCCAAAAAATAAAAAAGTGCTTAAAAGCTGGTTTGAGCCCATCCAAACGCCCCCTTGCTCAGACTAAGCTCCTCTTTTACAGAGACCTAAAATAGTAAAATTGAAGACTAAAAGGGGCTCATAAGAGCACTACAATGTTTTAGTCACACAAAAAATCCGTTGATGGTTTTGAGAATTTTGATTAACAATCGTATCTTTTATATCAAGCAAAAACAACTAGGGATGCAGAACGAAGCACCANCAAAAAAATATTAACTAACATTTGATACCAGTATAGTATATAGTTATACCAACATGGTATACAATTGTACGCAAAGAGTTAAAAGAAGTTTAATTCAATTATTAAACTGAAATAATATCAGTTGTCAATAAAAATTTTAAAAAATTCTAAAAGGATCTAATTGTAAGAGTATACCGTTACATTATATAGCATACTATAATTTTATTTTATTTTTGCATTTTCAATTTGCTGCTCACGCCAGGTAAAAGCTTAAAACAAATTAAAAGGGAAAAGGCAAGTGAATTTACGAGTAATAAGTATACTATTATAGTATATTGTATACTATTACAGCATATTGTTACAATATCTTGCATATTATTACAGTATACCATAACAATATATTTGTATACTATAATGGTATACTGTTGTAGCATAACTATATACTCCTATAGTATATTAGTATACTGTAGCGGTATACTGTTAGGTAACAGTGTTCTTCTTCGATTATTACTGTAGTTGTGTTCTTCTTCAATTTTCAACTGAAAATTTCGATCTCAATCACCTCAAATCAGCTCTAAGTCTCGACCAAACTGACTCAACATTTAGTTACAGTTGCCAATCGATATTTTAATCACGCTAGTCAAAATCTAATCAAACAATTACAAACTCGACAAATGCAATTTATAATTTTCAAGTTTCAAGGTCTTTCAATGGTTGATCTAATTTTTCTTACAATAAATCACTATGAACTTCTCAAAAGATATTAGAAATAATTATTTGTAACACTGCACGTACAAAATAGTTATTTAGCTGATCATCAAACCATATCAAATCTCACTCATTAAAATCACAATAAAAAACTGGGTAGTGACTCGAACAAACACAAACACTACGAGAAAATATGAGATATGTAAGACGGAGATAGTATTTTGTTGCTGGAAGAAGAAACAGGAAGAAGGGAAAGGGTAAATAGAAGCTTTAAGGAGGAGAGGCGTTGGTAAGGCAATTGAGAAATGGGTGGACGGGTAATAATTTTGGTTGGCTTAGGTAGGTATAGTGATTATTATTAAATTGGGTAAAACCGGGTTATTATTTTGAGTTTAGTGGATAGTTAGTGTAGTTTCCTCATAAAAAAGTGCTTAAGCTGAGTTTCAATGCATTTATATAATTGCATCAGTCCCCCCCCCCCCCCCTTCTAAAAGTGATGCATTTATTATTTTTGTGGAGTTGCAAGAACTTGCGCAATTACTTTAGCGATTTCTCTGTTGGAGAAGAGAATAAAATAGTAGAGGTGTGAAACATTATAGCGATTTTCAATACCTTAGCACGGATATATGAATTTTACAAAATTGTAAAAGGGTAAGAAACTAGCTCTAAGATGTTTCACTTGGTGAAACTGTAAAGACATAAGGAATACTAATACATTTTGATTATTTTAATGGATCATTGATCTGATTTATGATCATACGTTATCGTCTAGGATTGTTGAAGATTCAATTCTCTTGGATTGAAACTTGCAAGTGTGAAGAATATAATTGCATGCATTAACAGCCTCCCCAACTGTTAAATAGATCCATTCCTTCCCAATTGTGTCAATGAAATTTGACTTATCCAACTTCTTCATCACCTCCCCTCCGGGGTTTGCCAATAAAAGCTACACATTGAATAATTGAATAGTAAACTTTAGAAAGAAACAAAATAAGATAAAATAAAGGAAAATCAACTGGGTAGTAGTGGACAAGATGTCACTGATTCAAGTTCGTGATACTAAAGTTCGAGTTATGGTTTATTAATCACTGAACTGTTCCCGTAAAGAACTATAAATAGTAATATGTGTTTCACTACTAATAATTTACTGGAAAATTGTCAGTTTTGGGAATATTTGTACCTTTAGACATCGTCTATCTGCATTTCTCTTCACTTCCTCAAGCATACTAATTCCACTTGTATCGATGTTTCCAACAGCTGCATTTAAGAGGATTAATGTCAGCAGTAAAACATTAACTATAAAAAAAAAAAAAAATCAAATTAACATTTGATATTCCCCGAAGTTTTTTATCTTGAATTAAAACTTACCACTCATATCCAATATGACATATTGCAGCTCAATCTCAGTTGAAGTCCTTTGCTTCTCTTCTTCTTCATCTATCCATCTTGTAATCCTAAGATATTTCAAGAATATATAAGTGACTAACTATTGTGCTGAAGTCATCATTAAATTGAGATGAAAATGTGGGTGTTGTAGTTACCTTTCCCTCAAATAACTTGCATTTGCAAAATAGATTGGGGCATCAATGTGTATGACGAGAACTCCAGGAACACTGCTTGCTGCTGAATATTGTTCAGTGTTTCTATAGGTCATGGAGTTTGGTATTTTACCTAAGACAAATGTCTTTGGCCTTGCTACAAAGAGAAGTATCCTAAGTAAAGACATTGCCACCTGAATCACACACGAAAACATAGTTATCATAAAAATTAAATTACACTGAGAGTGCAGAAAGATTTTTAAATCCTATTAAAAATGTATGCTATTTACCGCGACTATTAGGCCAACTTCAACGCTACCAAAGACAACTCCAATGAAGGAACTAACGCAAACGAGGAAATCGTATTTGTCAACTTTCCAAAGGTGGATAGCAGCATTGTAGTCAATGATGCCTAGCATGGCTGAAATTATAATGGAGGAAAGGACAACAAGGGGTGTGTAATGAAACAATGGTGTTAGCAACAACAATGTTATCATCACTGCTGTTGCCATTACTATGTTGGACACAGCTGTCTTGCATCCCGCATTGAAATTCACTGCCGTACGTGAAAATGGTCCTGAAAAGAAAAAAGATGGTAACATTAGAAGAAAAAAAAAATTAAGTTCGAAAAAGCAAATTCTTATTTACTTAATTATGTTTTTATTTGTTCACTCCTTTGCCTAAAAACTTGCAAGGGAAAAAATCCTAGTTGAGGGAAATTGGGGGGAAAATATTATGGGCATGGTAATGGCTTTGGACTGGGCTTTCTGTATTTTTGAACATTTTGTGGATTGGGCCAAGAGATGTTAGTTTTGGGTGGAAGTGTACCTGTGGTCAAGTAGCAAGAGGTGCAAGAACCAGCAATGTTCATCATCCCAAATGCAATCATTTCTTTGTTTCCATCAATGTGATAGTTCTCCACTATGGCGAAACTCCTTCCAACTGCTATTCCTTCCTGTATTGTTTAATTTCATCAGTTAAAATAAATAAGTAATAAGTAATATGCGCGTGTGTGATATATATACAACATCCACGATAACTACTTGGTCTCAAACAAGTTAGGTGTGTGTGAACAAATTTATACAAATTCAGAATTAAAAAAAAAGTACAAAGAATAATTTAAAGAGTTTTAACTTATATACACCCATAATGTAAGAATAAATTTATGTCTAGTTAAAATTTAGTTAAAATATACATTAAAAATGCCTTTCTGGAAACTAAGAGCTGCTAGTTGTAGTCTATGAGTCACCAATATTGCCGCGTGTATTATAAAATGACAGAGACACAATAAGTAGGTCACTATTTTAGTTTCTTCATGCATAATTTATGAACATTAATTGCGGTCTATTTTTTTTTCTTTTCTAACCTTTTTAACCCAAGTATCTTCCAGACGATAGAATGAGGTCATGAGAATCTTATATAAATCAGAAAGTCTAAGACCGAATCCAACTTAGTATGACAGACAAATATGTCGTTTCTAAAAAGTAAAAAAAAAAAAAAAAAAAAAAAAAAAAAAAAAGAAAAGAAGAAATTAACAATTGTAGACACATTGTACTTACAGCCATGGCGATGACACCAGTGACGATTCCTGTCTTAATGGCAGTTGTAAGATACTGCGAGCTAAATGCCAGTTCAGAATACGATGGTGGATTTATCCCTTTTTTCAAGTGCCCAATCTGAGAAAATTAAATCCAACAAAAGTCCAAAAATATTCACAGGTTAGCCGCATGTACGTACTGTCTTATAATACAAACATCGCTAGAAAAAGTTAATCATACTAATAAGGGACCAACATGTGGACGTCATTAGTCACTCACCATTAATTATATTCACATGTATAGAAATAAAAAATAAAATTTAGCTCTGAAATACTATAAAGATATAAATCTAATTTTGACTGTGGAGAAATTAATTACCACTTGAACCCCATTTTTTTCAGCATGGGTGAAATAAACAAGAACACTTCCCAAGATCACAGATGTTAGAGGCGCCATACAACTTATCCAGAAGAAAGCTGGCTTCTTTTTGCTCTGGTATAGGAAATAAACCACACAAATAAACAAGTCCATTAGTAAATTAATCTAGTGAACTTGAACTGAAGATAATAGTATGAAATAATTAATGAGGTTATTAGCAATTGAAATATGGTGAAAAAAAATTCTAGGAATCATTAGAAATATTTTATACACGAGTATGAGTTAATCTTAAGGTGAAAGAAGTCTACAAATGTATCACATGCTTAATGAATAGTATCATGATTCATTTACGGATATGACATATTTATTTATAAACTATAAATATGTAACAAATCTTCCGAAAGCGAGTATAAATTTTAAATTAATTAATTTACTTACAAAATATCTGGTCAACAAGAGGAAGAAGAGAAAACAACAACCTAGGACTCCACTTTCCCATCTCCACTGTAGCAAATGATCAATAAAAACATATTAGAATTAATTGGAATGAAAAAGAAAAAGAAAAGACCGTAAAATATTGGAGGCTAACTATAACTTATTATTTTGACAAAAAAGATTTAAAAAATAAAATGAGATAATGAAGGAACCTGGTGTAATTGGCTAAAGATGGAGCGCATGACACTGACAATATCAGTTTCATGGGTGAAATGAACAAGTCCAAGAATTCCTTTCAGCTGCTGTAAGCACACTACTGTGGCTGCTCCTGCCATGAACCCTAATATTGTTGCATGCGATAGAAAATCCACTATGAATCCTAACCTATATCACCATCAGATAAAGAAGAGAAAAATACTTAGTACTCCTGCCGTTGCAATTTAAGTTTGACTCGACACAAAATCTAAGCCAAAAAAAAAAAAAATGAAGACTTCTGACCTTAGCAAGCCTAAGGAAGCTTGGAAAACTCCAGCAAAGAAAGTAGTAGTAAATACCAACTGAAGATAAAGCTTGGGATTATCGTGAGGATTAACGACTCGGCCAAGCATTGCAGATATGAGAAGTGATGGAACTGCCACATTCCCTATTGCCAAATGCTTCGAACTTCCCAACATCGCATATATCATCGGTGGCACAAAGCTTGAATCTGCATTTCCAAAATATATTTATCAGATCAAGCGCAATGAAAATTTTAACCAAATTAATCTGGAGTAGTAACTTTATTGTGCCATGTACGTGCAGGCTATGGACTCGTAACTTACATATCAAGACACGTAATTAACAGTTATAATCACAATTATAGTTATGTGTATTTTTAGCGTTTAACTTATAAAATATACTGACGATAAGATATAATTTTTTTTTACCTAGACCTGCAGGAGTCATCTGCCTAATTTTTTAGTGACTAGCTTGACATTGCAGGTGCATAAAAGTCAAATCCATTTAGTATGTTTTAAAGACTAGAGTTAGTTGGAAAGAGGCTAGCCTTGTATATGTACTAGTTCCATGTCCAAAGCTAGATGCATGATTTCGAGTATATTTCAAAGATATTTGATGGATTAATTTGTATATATTTTAGAATATACAAAAAGTTACTTACAAAGTCCAATAACTGGAGGCAAGTTAGCCAAACCAGCATAGCTTATCCCTTGAGGAACAGCAAGACTAGCAATTGTGATTCCAGCAATAAAATCAGCTTTGAAAAGCTGAAACGTATAACGAGGAGCCCAATCGAGGATGGGGACAAAATACTGCAAACCCAAAGCAAGTTTCTTGGTAAGTGACTGGTTCTTGAATTTCCTAAAGGGGTCATCAGGAAATAGTGTTTCTTTCATACAAGATTTGAGTGTCTTCAAGAATGGTTTTGGTGGTGGGATTTCTACCTTTTGATGTGAATACTGATCATCAAAGTCAGCATTACCCATAATTTTAAGTTTACTTTGTGCTAATGGAAATCAGTCTATTTATAATGTGGAGAAAGAGGTGATGATGCAATGAGAAAGTGGTTTTGGTTTCTTATGAATTGGGACTTTGAGGATGCATGTCTATCTATATATAGAGGGCCAAGAGGAGGTGGAGTACTGCCTGTTTCCTTTTTCCAAAGCTTTTTAAGTTTTATTTCTTATTTCCTTTTGCGATGGGTCCCATTAATAACCCTCAGGAGTTTGGGGATTGTATTGACAATCTCACAACACAACATGAAGGTAGAGAGATTGATGGGACGCAGAGAAATATCATGCGTCAAATTGATGTCCGCGTCATCCATAATTAAAGGTCTCAAACATAAGCTTCGAAAATAAAAAAAGCTCTTGATAGATTGTTTTTTCTCTTTAAGTGATACTTCGCGACACAAATTCGAATTAGTCAAACCAGTGATGAATTTTGAATATTTAGTTGAGTGAGAAAAGTTATTTCCTCCGGTCCACAATAAGTGACCAATTTATTTTTTTTATTTTGGTCCAAAATAAATGTTCATTTATATAACCAAGAAACAATTCAATTTGTTTTTCCAAAATTAGTACGTATCCCTAAAAAGTCTTTTACTCCTCACATTAACTATGCTACAATATTTAATTAAGGGTAGTTTAGTCATACTAATTACTATTATCTAGAATTTAGTATTTCCTTAATGGGTGTGCCCAAAGCAAATTGGTCACTTATTGTGGACCAGAGGGAGTAATTTGTTTGCTTTGATCAAACTATGGTGTACTATGTTGTGAATTTTAGGTACACCGATATTTATAATTTTGAGTTAAGAAGATCGTCAATACACACGAGAGACAACGTTGTACCACCTTCAATGGTGCATCATAGTTTAACTTTCAATTCAATCAACGAATCATTATAGTGACTACGGGGGAAGGGAAGAAAGAAATGCAAGAATCTTGGACAAGATTTCCGGTTATTTATGAAATTGAAACCACTAGAATGTGATTAATTTTCACCCCTAGTATCTTATTTTTCTATTTTTTCCCTCTTCTTCCTTCTTGTGAAAGGGATGTAGGAAGTGGCACAAAGGTAACGACGGATGTAGAATACAAGTACTGAATATATATTTAAACAAAGTACTTCATTTACCTGAACCTAGTGATTGCAAAAAGTCATTTGCATTTTAACAATATCAGATTTTGAACCTCCAAATTTAAAGTGTAATGAGCTTAAATATAAAAACCTAAAAATTGACCCATCAAATTAAAATTACGAATTCGCATCGGCATAAAGGGGATCAAGAAGAGGAGTAACACGTGGCAACGAGTCAACGGCTTATTAACTACTCACAACCTTATGGTATTCCAGCTAAGTGTAAGGTCACCCTGTCTCTTTACGTGAGGCAGCAAGTAGATTTTAGAGCTTAAGGTTTTGTTGCCTACCTCCCATTTAAATATGTACGTGGATAAATCTAATTGGTCAGTAGAGATCCACCGGGGACACGTGGCATGAGGTGGACTAAGGTGGAAGAGACTCAGGCATAAGTGACATAGCCGTGGAGGATGATACGTGAAATTAGGAATTATATCAACTTTTTGTCGAATATTCGTTATTCTTTTGTGCAAGTATCTGATTAAACTTAGTTTATTAAGATAATTTGAACTTTTAACCGGCAAAAATGTCATTACCTTTTAATAATAAATTATCGGTGTTTAATTATTATTTATACCAACTAGCACCTAACATGCATACTGATATTTTGGTCAGATAATTGAGTTATTACATGATTCAAACAATTCTTTACAAATAAATCAAGCTGCAATGTTTAGAGATGGACAATTATTAATTTTGGACCATCTTAGGATTAAAGAGAGATCTCTAGCATCTTATTTCGAGCTAAAAACTTGTTCTGATACGACTTAAAATCTGACCATACATATTGGATTATACTAATTACTTTTTTCTTCAAAACATCACGAGCTCGGAACCACTGGTCCAGCTAATCCAGATTCGCACTATACAATATTCATGATTACGAGGCTTTTAGTACTCCCTACCGAAACAAACTCTATTTTGAGGACCTAATCCTTCGATAGTAATAAGAGTTACTGCTTTCTCTATTAAGAAAATTAGTATTATAACCCGCGGGTGCGGAGCATGTAAACGAATAAAATTATATCTCCGATTTTTTTAAGTGTCATCTTATTTTTTATGACAATATACTCAATAAGGTAAACTCTACGATCGGAGGATAGAAACGAAAATTCTGGACAGAAGATATGGATAGAATTGACTGAATGGTTGAGTGAAGGTTAAAATGGGGCTTGCCCTGCTATTCAATTGAGACCAGGAGATCACGACGAGGGTCAGCCTCGCAATGGATCGGGCTATAACACGAAGACGAGGTGTCGAGTTCAAGAATCGAGATGTCCGTCGAGACCGAGGCCAGCGGCAATCGAGATTAAGTATGACCGACTTCGAGTGAAGTGCAATAACGGAAAGGCGAGATATTCGCTACAGGTCGAAGATCACGGCGGAAATCCCGAAATAGATCGAATCAAGAGTGGTTATTTGTACCAATCATGGGATTTACTTCCGTAATTAGAATTGTACCATAATTATGATTCCTCTAGTATATAAAGGGGAGTACCCATCATTTGTAGGACACCTTACATTCGTATAGATCAAGGCAACATAATATTTCTCTCTTTCTCTGGTTTATCAACTAAATTGTTATTCTTTAATTGTTCTTGCTTTACTAAGCTCGAGGGTTAATCAGCTCGAGAGCACTATCCAAGCATTGGTTTGTTTTACATTTCTGTCAATTCCCATCACTTACCTTTAAGTTAATCAATTGATATTAGGTGAAATCACATATCCTTAAAGCCACATTATAAATTTAATTGTTATCCAGTTTTTAGGGTAAACAGTTTGGCGCCCACCGTAGGGCTAAGGATAAGAGTGATTGCTTAATATTAACCTTCATAGCACACACTGCTTTTACACTTGTTCTTGTAAGTGCTTTTGATTTCAGGAATCAACATGTTAAACTCTCAAGCAGTACCCACTCACATTGATACCGGACTTGGTTTTCATGGCGAAAACGAACACGTAGTTGCCCCGAGAAACGGAGTGGCTCCAACAGGCCGTAGACCCGGTTGATGTCAGTTCTCATGTCGCCATTCGTGGAGATTTAGGCGCCGACCTTGAAAATAGCATCCGCAGAGACGCCCGGGCAGCCGATCAGAACGCCCTGAATGATGAAGAAGGTGGAATTAGCCTTCAAATGATATTTGACATGCTACAAACTCAGCAGGCTGCGATAGCACAACTCCAAAATCAGAATCGAGCCCCAAGCAGAATCGAACCTGATACATCACAAGAAGTTGTAACAGGAGAAATTGAATGATAATGGATCGGGAACTGATCCCGCCATCATGAAGATGCTCGAGGAGCTCACTAAACGGATTGAATGGGGAGAAAAGAAGATCGAGGCTAATGATAAAAGGTAGAAACATACAACTCCCGGGTTGATCAAATACCGGGGGCACCCCCGATTCTGAAGGGTTTGGATTTTAAAAGTTCGTACAGAAGCCTTTCCCACCAAGTGCGGCTCCGAAGCCCATTCCGAAGAAATTCTGCATGCCAGAAATTCCCAAGTATAATGGAACCACCGATCCTAACGAGCATGTCACTTCTTATACATGCACAATAAAAGGAAATGACTTAGAAGACGATGGAATTGAATCTGTTCTGTTGAAAAAATTTGGAGAAACTTTATCGAAGGGGGCGATGATATGGTACCACAATTTGCCGCCCAATTCCATCGATTCTTTCTCCATGCTTTTCGATTCATTCGTGAAGGTACATACCGGAGCAATAAAGGCCGCGACTAGGATGTCGGACCTCTTCAAAGTGAGACAAAGGACAATGAAATGCTAAGGGAATTCATATCTCGATTTCAGATAGAGCGCATGGACCTACCCCCCGGTTACCGATGATTGGGATGTCCAAGCCTTTACTTAGGGTTTGAATGAGCGAAGTTCGGTAGCGTCACGTCAACTAAAGCAGAATTTGATTGAATATCCAGCGGTGACCTAGGACGATGTGCATAATCAATACCAATCAAAGATCAGATTCGAGGATGATCAGTTAGGAGCTCCATCCATTTTCGTTTACCCAAATAGGTTCGAAGGCAGGATTCAAAGGGACATCGACCGAGAGCCCCAATCGAACAGAGATCGGTACCAACCATATAGCGCAAATCGTAGAAATAATGGACCGGGATGTAATCCTGCTCGAAATGAATGGAGGAATGATCGAGGTCAAAATTCTCGAGGGCTCATGAGTAAGAGTGTCTTCGATAAACATGTCGAGCCTAAGGAAGCACCACGATTATCGGAATAGAACTTCAGCGTTGATGCTTCAGGTATTGTGTCAGCCATTGGACGAATCAAGGATACTAGGTGGCCCAGACCCCTACAGATCGATCCAGCTCAAAGGACTCCATATCAAATGTGCAAGTACCATGGAACCCATGGTCACGGGACCGAGGACGCAGACAATTAAGGGAGGAGGTAGCTCGCTTATTTAACGAAGGTCATCTTCGAGAGCTCTTGAGTGGCCGAGCAAAAAATCACTTCAGAGACAGGGATGAAAATAGGAAAAACGAACAGGAGGAACCGCATCACGTGATTCCTATGATCGTCGGTGGGGTCGATATCCCTCAGGGTCCGACATTTAAGCGCACCAAAGTCACAATCACAAGGGAGAAACCTACCCGGGACTACTTACTAGAAGATACCTTATCTTTCAATGATGAGGTTGCAGAAGGGATCGAACAGCCTTACAACGACGCGCTGGTAATATCTATCCTTTTGAATAAAATTCAAGTTAAACGTGTGTTGCTTGATCCAGCTAGCTAGGCAAATATTATTCGATCGAGGGTCGTGGAGCATCTCGGCCTTCAAGATCAAATCGTGCCTGTAGCTCGAGTGCTCAACAGTTTCAACATGACAAATGAAACCACCAAAGGGGAAATCATATTGCCAGTGAACGTGGCTGGAACTATCCAGGAA